ATGGCGTTAGCTTGTTCTAAGGAAACACTTGCGTTCAAAAGTTTAAACAAGGAGACCGGGGTGGCTGTTGAGATCGATGCTAAGACTCCAAGTTCCACAAAGGAAGTCTTGGAAAATATGCTGGCTATGTTAGCTCTGTCGGAAAGGGCAATCATCTCCTGTGTCACAAAGGGTCATTGAAGTGGTGGGTGTAAATTTTGAATCTGAAAGCAATGTTATGTTTTAAATCTTCTTTAACTCTCAAGGGAAACATCTAATTTCCCCCTCTTCTGCTTTGTTAACACCGAAGAATTGGAAATTAACTTTTATAGCATCTTTTGTTCTCTGTTCTCCTCAATCAGAACTCTTCATTCATCGCTAACCACTAACAATGGGCCCGCATTTCCTCCATCTCTACATTGAGAAGTGTTTACTCTGCTATTGCGCTGCCCCTTCTTTCAGAATAAAAGGGCTTCATCTTGCTACATCACACCAAAGAGAGAGACACTTACCCTGCTGACAAGTGATACAGTTATTTTAGGACTCCTTTCAGTTCTGATTAATTGTTAATATGAAAGCTCCCGTCACTGTTGGCAAGTCAATTTGTTCCTCACTTAGTAGCCTCCCAAGCTCAAATTATGTAACAGGATTTTTGAAAAGCAATAATGTTCAAGCAGAAGTAATTGTGCAAAGCTTTAACGTAATAGAATCATGTGCTCAAGAGTGAAAACGGATACTGAAAATACAGACTCTGGAAATTGTTTATCACCATATTTCCTCTTTCTTCTACACTATTAGCTTTTCCCTAATTTTAATGGCTTCTGATACCAGAGTAATATTTTATCCATTCTTTACATTCACTGAGTGACAACTTCTTAGGACTATCACAGGAGTCCTCTGTACTTTCTAATATGAAGGGCAAGGATACAGGATGCTCGTTCCCCAAGCTTCAGAATGGGAACCCAGGCTGTATGTTGTGACTTGCTGTCCAGTCAATTCTGACGGATGGTGACTTCATGTGTTAGAGCAGAAACACCTCATAGGGTTTTCCTTCATGGTAATCTTAATTAAGCAGGTTGCTGGGCCTGTTTACCTTGCTGCCGCTGGGGGGACTTGAAGCCCCAACCTTTAGGTTCACAGTCAAGCACAAAGTGGACCACACAGGGGCCTTTCGAGTACATGTATTTCCTTAAAAAGGATTATGGTCACCAGCTAAGAGGAACTGAGTATGTGTATGAATATAATGGTCTCCTCACTGCCTCTAGTCTGCTTAGAAGTCAGTAAGTTCACGGGCTTAGAACTGCAGTCTGGGATCCGAATGCCATTTGCATGCATAACCATTCCATCCATGAATAAATGATTAAGTGAAAGAATTGTCCTGCACCACAAAGAAACGGAGATTTTATTCACGGGCAGCTGGCTACAAAGAAGAGACAGATGTTAGGATTGCATCAACCCCATGCCAAACCATTAGAATACCCAGTCCTGGCCCCCAAGATGTCAGCTTCCATTTCACATTAGGGTACTTTTTTTTTTTGGTCAGTGGGAGAAAATGTGAATCTAGCTAAATCTTACAAAGCTTGAGTTTATTGAGGAGGAATTTGCAATCACTTAGACACTGTCTGAGATAAAAATTCCCCCCTTTTTAGCCAACCCTTTATGCGTTGTGAAAATTAATCATGCAAATAATGTTGAGGGGCAGTCTGAAATAACGGAGATGGCAAAGTCTGTAAGCATGACCGTGTAGCTCAGAATGGATGAGGTGCCTGGCACGCAGTCCATAAGCATCCCGTGAATGTTTATTTAATGAGTCCGTGAATTATTCATTTATAGACGGTCATATGAATAGTTTGGACGAGATGATTCCTCTGGTCCTTTCCACAGGAAAATTCTGGGATACTGTGATAACAAGGCCTTCTTAGGAATATGTGATAACAAGGCCTTTACCAGGAATATGTGACCCAGGACACGTACCTGTCTCTTACTAGGCAGATCTTGCTCAGCACGGGGTGACGCTCAGATTTATCGCTTCAAATAAGTGTAGTCTTTTTTGAAACAAGCCCACATCTCAGACCTCCCTAGTCCTTTACTCAATTATCTTCCACTGTAAGACTTTGTGGACTTGACGTGTATGACTCATTGAAGAAGCAATGTCAAGAAACATCGTGGACATTTAAATTTAGAGTGGAGGAAACAGGGTATGAGTTTTCCTATTGTATTCGTCCAAGTCCCTAGTCCGTGTAATTTAGATTCAGCTATACTTAAGCTGTTTTCCTTCCATTATGGCCATGCAAACTCAAAATGCACGTACTTTTCTGCAAATAATGATAAAGCCTGCGCTAAAATGCAAGAAACGTCTTAAAGGCTTTGTAGAGTAAACAGAATTTAAAATATTCTCGTTGGAAGTGGACACTTCTAAAACGGGAATGACATATTGTAAGTGTCTGTCTGTCTGTCTGTCTCTCTCTTTTTTTTTTACAGCTTTTGACTTGGCAGCAGACTGCAGTTGGCAGCTACATGGGGTGGGTAACATTTTTATAGAGAACTCTCCATCTTTTCTAATCTGAAGAGTTCCAAACAATGGCAGCTATGGATGATGAGGTAAGATTCTCCTCAAAGAGAGGGTCAGAGAGGGAGAGCACTACTTTTTGTAAATAAACTAAATTCCCATTTCTGGCTGATCCTGAAACACCCATGTTCAAGGAATACTCAAGCAGGCCAGCTAAGAAAAAAGAAGAAAAGAATTGCCCTGTGATTTGAGTTGCTGCTCACGAGACAGAGTTTACAGTGCACAATGTTAATTTCCTGCCTAAAAAAAACCCCCAAAACAAAAAACTCAACATTTTTCATAGAAGTATAAATAGAATACAGATGCCTCTGAACATAACAGCCACACCAGCCAAGATACAATCTAAAATTACTCAACATACGAAGAACCTAAAAAACGTGGACCATCGCTTCTCGGCGTTTTGCCTAAGATCAAGTGTAAAAATGTGGACCAAACTCAACTGCAGTGGACATCTCTTCCACAATGACCCAAATGTGGAATTAGCAGATACAAATTTTAAAGAATTTAAAAGTGCAACTATGGCTAATGATGTAAAAGAACGTATTCTCTCAGAGAATGGAAAGAAAAATTTCATGAAAGAAAAATGAGCTACAAAAACAGACCAAAGAGACGGAAAATTATAGTGCTTGAAATAAAACAAACCAAACAAAAATACTGAATGTATACTTTAAAGTAGAATCAGATGACTAAAAAAAGAGTAAGTAAATTTGAAAACAGATCAATAGAAGGGATCCGCCAATTAAAGCTGGGTAAAGAACATGAAGAGGGATTCAGGAGCCTGTCGGAGAATAGATAAAAGTCAAAAACTCATGAGGTTGGAGTTTTCAAAGGAAAAAGAACGGGATAGAAAAAAATGTATTTTTTGCCTTCAAAATTTCAAAGCTATGTATATTGCTGTTTAAAACTTATTGTCATAAGACAATCACGATTTAAAGCATTGTTGATGTTAGGTATTGTCCACTTGGATCTGACTCTTGGTGATGCTATGGACAACAGAACAAAATACTATCAAGTCCTCCCAATTGTTGCTACGCATGAGCCCACTGTTACAGCCATTGTATCAACTCATCTCATTGAGTATCTTGCTCTTTTTCACCAACCATATACTTTACCAAGCATGATGTCCTTCTCAAATGACCCACCGGTCAAAGAAAACAATAAGGGAAATTAGAAAAAAATTGAATTTGAATCCTCGTATTGGTGCTGAAAACTTGCATAATCTTGGACAACTGATTTAGACTGGTGGTCGAGTTTCATCAGTAATTGGGTACGTTATCACTTCAGAGGATAGTTACAAAGATTAACTAATATATGTAAAGCAGTTAGCACAACTCATGGCACAAGGATAACTGATTTCATTTTGGTGCTGATAACTTGAGCCATTGTTGAGGCCAGCTGCGTGTACCTGCCATTTCCATCATTCTACATCTGAGTGCTACTCACATGTAGCGAGTGGTATGATTCCACCCTTTACGTCTTTTGGCCAGTTAACTAGACCTTGCCACTATGTCTAACTTCATTTTCCTCTCTCTACTATGCAACATTACTGAAAACCAGTTGGAGAAAGCTCAGCATTCTCTGACTGAAATACATTTCTTGGTGGTGCACCCATTCCCAGATTGCCCCTAGCAGCCTGAATTCTCCTCTTCCATAGCACAATCATCTAAGGGAATCAAGGAGCCTGCCTCCCAGGAAGTATCAACGGAGCCTTAGCGTCCATCAAACTAGCCTGCCATTTCCCAGATAGCAGCAACACTTTGGAAAGTGAGGAGCTATCATCCTCTTCTACTTTTTTACTCTAACTCGTGGTGCGAATGAGTTGTCCTCATTGATTTCATCAATACTAGCTGATGTTGTCTACTTTTTAAAATGCATCTCCCTTTAAACACATGTAATCATAACCACTTCACAGGAATACGGGTGGCTAATTAATCACTGTTTGTGAGAAGCTCCAGGGTCCTCCTTTGGAAGGAGTACCGTGGACTCATACAGCATTACTGGGAAAACCGACATCTTGCTTCCTTGAATGGAGTTCGTGTCTATGCACAATCAAATTAACTGCTCTGCCCCTGGCGCATGCTTTAATTAATGAAACCCTTGCAGATGGAATGAAGAGATTAGTCTATTATTTTAAAATTCAACAATTTAATTTGAAGAGCCACAGTGGTTTTTGAAGTAGCTTCTTTTTTTTTTTTTTTTTAACCCCGATGACTATTGACATTTTGGCTCTCAATCTTACTTCCTGATGCCAATTAGCTTTGTGCCAATTCATCTCGTAATAGGCAGACTTCCTTATAGACACAAAACGTGTTCAATTTGTACCAATTTATATTCCCAATAGCAGAATGAAGCCCTACCTTAAAAAACCAACAACCAACACTCAACATGATAAGGGGGAAAGGCACAGGCTCTATTAAGGGTATGTTGTGCCAGGTAGGTTGTGGGTACTTACGTGGTCTTCTTTAATTTTTCCGGTCCATCTGATGGGATTGGTATATGAGGAAAGAGGATCAGGAGGTTTATGGAAGGCCACAAGTGGGAAATTGTGAGGATTCGTATTTGAACACAAGCCTGTCTGATTCTCAAACTTCCATTCCTCCCAGGAGTGACAGAGGCCCTCAGACGGGCAGCATGTCAGAAGGTGTGTGGCTTGTGAGGCGATGCCTACCTTCAGAGTCTTGTTGTGTCTCTGCAGCTCGCGGCACAGACTCTCCAGTTTGCTTCGGGCGAGGATGGCTCTGCTGTGCTCGCTTTGCAGCTGGTCCTTTTCCTTTTGCAGTTGTCCCTGCTTCTTTTGTAAGAGCTTCAGGGTCTTCTGCTCAGCACGATGTTCCTCCAGCTAGACAAAAGGGGTGGACATGAGAGAAAAGGCAGAGACCGCTTGTGAGTTGACAGACGGGAACAAATGAAAAAAGACCTAAAGATTACTCTTCTGCTCTCTGGAAACTTTGCTGTTGTTGTTTTAACTCTTATCAGTGTTCCTCTGGAGCAAATGAACTTCACAAATGTCACTTGTATGGTACTTACAGTTTTTAGGGCCTAGAGTTTACAGATGTTTTCTCGGTTGCTATGATTATCATCATCACCATTATGGATCTCTCCTTACTTTGATCTCTTTGGTGTTCTGTTGTGACGAGGTGCAGTCAGTCTGTTCTGACTCATAGTGACCGACACCCAGCAGAACGAAGCACTGCCCAGTCCTGCACCATCCTCACAATTGTTCTGATGTTTGAGCCCAGTGTTGCAGCCACTGTGTCCGTCCATCTCTTTGAAGGCCTTCTTCTTTTTCACTGCTCCTCCACTTCACCAAGCTTGAGGTCCCTCTCCAGGGGCTGGTCTCTCCTGACCACATGGCCAAAGTATATGGGATGATGTCTCGTCATCCTTGACGCTAAGGAACTTTCTGGCTATACTTCTTCCAAGAAGAATTTATTTGTTCTTTTAGTAGTCTGTGGTATTTTAAATATTCTTCTCCAGCACTGTAATTCAAATGCATTGATCCTTCACATGTGAAATTTGGACATTGAATAAGGAAAACTGAACAAGAATCAACGCATTTCACCAGCAAGTGCTTTGAGTCCTTTTCATTTTCAGCAAGCAAATGCATGTCATCTGCATGTTGCTGGTTGTTAATAAGTCTTGCTCTAATCCTGATACTATATTCTCCTTCAGACAATTCAGCCTTTCTGATTTTTGTTCAGCTTACAGATTGAACAAGTACGGTGAGAAGATACAACTCCTATGCACACATTTCCTGATTTTAAACTAGAAAATTTCAAAGGACAGGTTGAGAAGGCAAAGTAAAATATTGTCATGAGATATGAAAAGACCTAGAGTTGGAAAACCAACAAAGGAAGGACACATTCAGCATATCTTACACTGAAAGAATTAAATACTGTAGACAATTGGACATCCCCTTACAGAAGGGTCACAAGGAAGAGATGGGCCAGTCAGGGTGCAGTGATGCACCCTGATGAAACAGACTGCTTTCCTCTAGTTCTTTAATGCTTCCTCCCTGTTCCCCACCCCCACTATCATGACCCCAATTCTACCTTACACATCTGGCTAGACTAGAGCATGTGCACAGGTACAGATAAGAGCTGGAAACACAGGGAATCCAGGAAAGATAAACCCCTCAGGACCAGTATGAGAGTAGGGATACCAGGAGGGTGAGATGAAGGTGGGGGAAGCAGGGGGGAACCTATTACAATGATCTACATATAACCCCCTCCTAGGGGGATGGACAACAGAAAAGAGGGTGAAGGGAGACATCGGTCAATGTAATGACATGAAAAAATAACAATAATTTTAAAATTATTAGGGTTCATGAGGAAAGGGGGGGCGAGTGGAGGGAAATGAGAAGCTGATGTACCAAGGGCTCAAGTAGAAAGAAAATGTTTTGAAAATGATGATGCAACATATGTACAAATGTGCTTGACACAATAGACAGATGGATGGATTGTTATAAGAGCTGTATGAGCCCCCAATAAAATGATTTTTAAAAAGCACCAAGGAAAATAAAATAGAAATGGATCTTTGTGGCAGAGACTACAACGGTCTATTATCAGCTAAAAAAAAGAAAAAGAAATAAAAATGCAAGCCCTGTGATGCTCAGCTTCCTGACACGATCACTGAAGACAAAAAAGGGTGCATAAGCAAATGTGGTGAAGAAAGCTGATGGTGCCCGGCTATCAAAAGATATAGCATCTGGGGTCTTAAAGCCTTGAAGATAAACAAGCGGCCATCCAGCTGAGAAGCAGCAGCGCCCACATGGAAGAAACACAGCAGCCTGTGTGATAATGAGGTGTCTATGGGATCAGGTATCAGGCATCTAAGACCCAGAATAAAACCATACCCAGGATGAATGGGTGTATGGAGGCAAGGAGTGGAGACCCAATGCCCATCTGTAGACAATTGGACATCCCCTCACAGAGGAGTCATAGGGAAGAGATGAACCAGTTAGGGTATAGGATAGCACAGATGAAACACAGAACTTTCCTCTAACTCTTTGGTGCTTCATTCCCCCCACTATCAAGACCTCAGTTCTACCTTACAAGTCGGATTAGACCAGAACATGCACACTGCTACAGATAAGAGCCCGCAATACAGGGACTCCAGGATAGATAAACTCCTCAGGACCAACCAGGAGAGTAAAGATACCAGAAGGATTAGAGGAGGAGAAAAGGGAAATCAATTACAAAGATCAAACTAGAGCCCCTTCCCAGAGGGACGAATAATGGAAAAGTGGGTGAGGGGCAACGAAGGACGATGTAAGATAGGAAAAAATAAACTATAATTTATCAAAGGTTTGTGAGGGAGGGTGGGCGGGGGAGGGAATGGGAAGAAAGGGGGAGCTGATATCAGGGGCTCCAGTGAAAAGAGAATGCTTTGAAAATGATGATGACGCCATATGTGCAAATGTGCTCGACACATTGGAGGACTGTATGGATTGTGATAAGAGATGTAAGAGCCCCCAATAAAAGTATTTTAAAAATTCAAATCCTGAGTTTCAATTGAAAGATCCTACGGACAAAATATTGAATGATTCAGGAAGTATCTAAAAATGGAAAGAATGCACAGTCACTGTACCAAAAAGAACTAGTCGACATTCCATCATTTCAGGAGACAGCACATGAGCAAAAATCAATGGTACTAAAGGAAGAAGTTCAAGCTGTGCTGAAAGCATTAGCTGAAAAATAAGGCTTCAGGAATTGATAGAAATGGAAATATTTCAGAGCTGATGAAACACTGGAAACACTCACTGGTCTATGCCAAGAATTTTGGAAGACAGCTACTTGGGCAACTGACTGGAAGAGATCCATATTTGTACTCATTCCAAAGAAAGGTGGCTCAATAGAATTCGGAAACTATAGAACAATATCGTTAATATCACATGCAAATAAAATTACACTGAAGATCATCCAACAACGATTTCAGCAGTACATTGACAGGAAGCTGCCAGGGATTCAGGCCAGATTCAGAAGATGATGTGGAACAAGGGATATCATTGCTGATATCAGATGAATCTTAGCTGAAAGCATCAAATACCTAAAAGATGTTTGCTTGTGTCTTGTTGACGATGCATAGATGTGACTGGATGGATCATAACAAACTGTGGATAATCTTGAGAAGAATGGGAATTCCAGAACATTTAATTGTGCTCATGTGTTCCTTGTATATGGATCAAGAGGCAGTTACAGAAACAGAGTAAGGGAATACTGCCTGGTTTAAAATCAGGAAAGATTGGTGGTTGTGGTAGTTACATCATCTGTTGTCATTTTGAGACTTATGAGTGAAGGGGTGGAGATTAGCTTGTCAATCAGGTCGCAGCTTGATGACATGACATCATTTGGAGGTGCTAAGGAGATAAATAGCTCACTGGAGGCAGGACACATGCTTACTCCCTGCAAAGCGTGCTGACTGACAAGACACAGGGAGCTAAGCTAGAGCCCTGGAGCTGAAGGAACCATGTGGTGCCCTGCCAGCACCGAGATACCTCTACCACCACTGGATCCACAAAACTTTCCACCCACTGGCCTTTGATCTTCCTGCATTTGGCGCCATTGCATGTGCTGCGTGAGTCTGAAGAGGACTTTATAGATTGGTATCTGGACCTATAGGCTAATGTCAGACTTCGGGACTTCATCTGGACTGGGCTGGAATGTTTGCTAAATATTCAATTGCTCTTGTATATAAAGCTCTTTCTTATACACATATGAGTGTCTATGAATTTGTTTCTCTAGTCTACCCAGACTAACACAGTGGTCTCGAGATAGTTTTAATTTTTTTTCACCCTAACTAATGATACCAGTTGATATAGAAAGACATTTTTCAGAATCTATAAACTGCTGGGATTTATGGGGATGTTTTGGCAGTGAGGAAATAGCAGTTAGATTTCTTGTGTTACATTTAGCTTCCACAATTCTTTCTCATAATAAGCTTGGACAACAAATTTTATAGACAAGAGGAAACAGGCCTCTTGATAAACAGAAGTTATTTATAAACTCCTTATAATTTGGACTGTGGTGTGAATTGTGAGAAAGAGGAAGAAAAGTAAGTACCCCTTGGCTAACTAAGCATGGGCAGTTTTCATCACGGCTTCAGAAATAGCCAATGCCCAATCTAGTGGCACGAACAGCAAATATCTGCAAAATGCTATACTCTGCACCCATCCTCAACTCCTCCATCTGCAGCGAGAAGAAAACGCGACCCTTGTTTCTGTCCAATCCAGGTGACGCTTCAGAATCCCTCGCAGTCACCCAGTAGCCAGGATGCTAATGTTCTGAGTAGGGTACGTTTAGCAGTTAAAACAGATAGCGAGTTACATTTGAATTTCAGAGAGATAAAGAATAATTCTCTTCAGAAAGTCTCTAGGTAGGGTAAATGGTTTGCAATTGGAGACTCCAACTCAGTGGTTCTGTGTATGAAAGCCCTGGTCTTGTGCTCCTCCAAAAATTGTTGTTATTGTTAGGTGTTATTGAATTGTTTCTGATTTATAGTACAGATCACAACTAACTAGATGGTGCCCGGCTATCAATTGGAATAGTGCCTGGGTCTTAAAGGCTTGTATTCAAACAAACAGCCTTCTAAGGTAGGTATCAACTTTGAACAAGCACTCCAGCCTGTGTGATCCGAAGATGACAATAACAAAATCCAAATATGATGAAGGGAAAAATATCAGAGCTTAAATTGTGAACGTCCAATTTGTGGAAGGCTGTGGAGGACAGTGGGAGCCCAGAATCCGTCTGCAGACCGTCTAGTCAGATTAAGCCTCTGGCAGCTCCCCTCTGTAAACTTGATGAAAGTGGATTGAACCATGGTATATAATATGATGCTTGA